GTAATTGGTGAATATTATCAGTGCTAAAAGATTATTGTTTTCCAGGCATTTCATAGAGATGATCGGTTGAGATTCAACCATGCATTGTCTGGTTATCATTCATTGTCAGGTGAGCTAATGACATGCACAATTGAATATTAAGATGACTCCCATGGTTTTTTTTATATTATTCTAGTACAAATTCATTGATGATGCTGTTTTCAATGCATACATTTTAAAAAACTACTTTTACCATCAGCAGTGTAATATGAAACCATACCATGGAGGTGATTGTTTTCCTTTTTTTTTTGGAAGTTGATTAATCGAGTTTTAATATCCAATTGTGTCATCATCTCTTCAATTTGTATTTTTATCTAAATGGAGATTTATTGGTTCTTGTCTTTCTTAACTTGTGTAAATTTCGTTTGCAGTCTTTTTGTTTATATGCAATTATTGTATTTTATCATGCGAGTGGTGTTATATAAAGGGGATGTGAATTTTTGAAGGTGAGGAGATTCCCTTAAGTCGATCCTCTTCCAGCAACAGAGATGTTGACTTTGAATCTGGACGAGCTATATCAAATGCAGAAACTCCTGCTGGAGTTTTACAGGAAATTGCAATGAAGTGTGGAGCCAAGGTATTTTGCGCTGTTTATCTTGCAAAAGAAAAGTTAGTCTAGCATATTTGCATATATCAAACCTTTGTGCTCCATCTTATTTCTTTTTCCCCTTCCTCCCATTTCTAAATGGGAACTTACAGGTGGAGTTTAGGCCAGCTTTGGTTGCTAGTATGGAACTGCAGTTTTATGTTGAGGTACTTTCAATTCTTTGACTTGCTACCTCGTAATTCGACTTTAGTCTGAGGGATATCATGTTTTGAACTTATCTAACCACAATTTAATGTTCTGTTGAGGAGAGCTCATGTGTGAGCGGCTAGTTAAATAATTTAACATGTCTTTTGATATATGAAACAATTCCTGTGAGTTTGAGACAATCTATGTACATTTCAACATTTATTTTTCTGAAGACCTATAAGAAAATTGTAGAGATGAGGAAAATTTCTAGTATCTTTGGGACTTCGTCCACAAATTGATAACTTGGTCTCGAAATGAAGAGGGAGTCTCATTCTTTTCTTATTAAAATAATCATACTGGAGAGATGATATAAAATGGAACTCTCAATAAAATATTGTTCTCATAGTTAATGCTTTTACTTTTATAGTACATGTTACTCACTAAGCTTTGGTGATTTATTAATTTTATAAACCAGAAGTAGTAAATATATAAGATCCTTATTTCATAGAAATACAATACAATTGAAATGTTGCCTATTTCTTTGTGGAGAGAGATGTCAAATGTGAATGAGCTTAGCCCATTTTTCCTTCTGTAGGCTTGGTTTGCTGGAGAGAAAATTGGTGAAGGAAGTGGTAAAACGAGAAGGGAAGCTCATTACCAGGCTGCTGAGGGTTCTCTGAAAAATTTAGCCAGTAAGATTTCTTATTGTTGTATTTATTGCCACTAGCTAGGGTGATCTGCCATTCTCGGTAGTTCTTATCGTGCCTGTTTGGGGTTGTAGTTGCTGCAGCTTATGATTAGAAAAGCTCCTATCTTTAATCTCTTCTTAGTGGACAATGTGTATGACCATCGTTGACAATGTTTTTGCAGATATATACCTTTCCCGTGTCAAGCCTGATTCTGTGTCCGTTCATGGGGATATGAACAAGTTTCCTAATGTTAACAGCAATGGTTTTGCGGGTAATTTGAATTCTTTTGGTATCCAGCCATTTCCCAAAGAGGAGTCCCTGTCATCTTCAACTTCATCGGAGCCTTCTAGGCCACTAGATCCTAGGCTGGAAGGCTCTAAAAAGTCAATGAGTTCAGTGTCTACACTCAAAGAACTTGTAAGACTCAAAACTTGATAGTCGGCTCTAGTCTCTCTCTCTCTCTCTCTTCCCCCAAAAAATTACATTGCTATTTGCAGTGGCTGAATGATGTTAAGATTATTGACGGTTCATGATTTTGTACTACTTCAGTGTATGATGGAGGGCCTTGGTGTAGTTTTCCAACCACGACCTCCACCTTCAACTAATTCAGTCGAGAAAGATGAAGTTCATGTACAGGTTTGTATTTGAGCTCACTTGTGTCTTCAAGTTTCTATATTTCATTGTCTGGAAGTGCAGAATATTATGACCCTTCTCGGAATTCCTGGTTAAACTTTGTTAAATGTTGAAAGAAACTACGGAAATGAAACTAATTTAAGAACTTCAGAATACAATTTTTATATATAATGTGAATTGCAAAGCAGATTCCATTGGTATTGGGATTGCTTTTTTTCTTTTTTCCTTTTATTTCTCATGTACTGGATCAAGAATAATACTTCCCTCTTCACTTGGTTGATCAGTAACAGAAATTAAAAGGTGGTTTAGTTGAGTTTGGTATGAATGAATCATCATCATGAATACTGATCAGGTCTTTGGGTTTTGGTGCAAAGGGAGAAAATGAGAACTGAGGGTTTGAAAGTTGTTTTAGAGTTCAAGCAAAAAAAACTTGTGAGCTCTGAGAATTGTTTTTGGGCCCTCAACTTCCAAGGGATGTCTGCAGTGAGAAAGTATTAATCGTGTTGGTTGTGCTTTTTAGAAGTGTTGATGCTGGCAGTTGTTTGGGAATTCAAAGCTGCATGATTTTAAGGATAATCTTTTAGTATCCTTGAGGCATGCTTCTTTTTTCTTTCTATAAAATTCTCATTTGGTCTCATGTTTCAGGTTGAAATAGATGGAGAGGTTTTGGGGAAGGGAATTGGATTGACGTGGGATGAGGCTAAGATGCAGGTAATATATCTTGTGCTCCAATTGATTACCCTTCTTGGGGCCTTAATTGTTTTGAAAATATTTATCTGAGCACCTAAATATTCTTTTCCTTAGGCTGCTGAAAAGGCACTCGGAAGTCTAACATCAACGCTATATGCTCAGAAACGTCAGGGTTCTCCAAGGTGTGTGAATTCATTAGCTGCAAGTATTTAGTTATTTTCGTCAAATTCATAATGAACTTTGAACTATGATTGGGTCAACCAGCCATAGAACCTTGCTATCACTGTGTTTGTGGAACCTGATGGTTCAGTACCAGTTTACTTTACTCCCTCTACAAGTGGTCCTTTGAGCACCAAGAGACCTCATTTTGGAAGAGCATATTAGTTCATTCTTTTGTGACGCAGCTCATGCTGTGTGTCCAGTCCTGGGGTATTTTACAAGCCCAGCAACAAGGTGAAGGAATTTCTCATTTCTTTCCCTTCTTGGTTGGATTCTTGGAAACATATCCAATTATTTGGTGGGATTTTAGTTCATCTCTTGACTCTGTTTTTTTTTTTTTGGTTGATTTCTGTTGCTTCACGTTCACATGGCATGAGAGCTCTTGCAACTTAGATAAACGCTTTTATAGCTCCCACCAACAACTTAAATCTAGGGTTTGAGGATAATTTGAAAATGAATCGTCTGTTTAGTTTATTCCAAACTCTCTTGCTTTCCTTGTCTTCTTGTAAATTTTGTTAGCTGCTAGTCAATATCTTCTTTTTATGTATATTGTGCATTCTCCCTCCCCTTCTAATTTTTGGTGTTTCTGGTAATGAAAAAAAAGGTCTTTGCAAGGGATGTCCAGTAAACGTATGAAGCAGGAGTTTCCACAAGTTTTGCAACGAATGCCGTCTTCTGCTAGATATCCAAAAAATGCTCCACCAGTTCCCTGAAAGTCATACCACCATTTCATCCCAATTTGGTATAACTACTGATGTGACATGCCTGCAGTACATATTATAGAGAATGGTTAGGACCATGGAGATTCAGAAGTGCCAAATGGCCCTAAACTCTTACAACATGTGGGCTGAAGAAGCCATGTGGACGAGATTGAGCTTGCAGCTTCATTTAAGATTCTTGTGAAAGAATGGGGAGGTGCTTCCGGGCAATAAAGTCCTAACATTCTTGGGGTTTTCTGCCATTGTTGTAACTTGTAACAGTTCCCCCTCCCCAACACCAAATGCTTATAAGCCATCCTCGCAAGTTTTTGGAAGGCGATGCCGCCTTGTAACTCCACTTTTTTTGTGTGGTTGATGACAGATTCCTTCCAATACCATTGAAAGAGCTTATTTGGGTCTGGAGATTTGTGACACTCTATTGATGTTTATATAGCGGAAGTAGAAAGAAATATGGCTTCGACAGCAGCTTTAGGCTATGCTCAGAGTCACGGCTACACATGATAGTCACGGCACACACTAACCATTGACGGTAGTTACTGTAGTCCAATTGCCAGTTTTCTTTCAGTGCCCATCTCTGTGGGAATTGGCAATATTATAATGTGTCAATTCTGGATTGTTACCTGAGGTGGAACTGTTTAGTGATGTAAATTGAGACAATGTAATACCCTTTTCACTACTTATATTTGATGGAGTGGAAATTTTTCAACACATTTAGCTAATGTTTTAAGTTTGATTGATAACAATGAATTCTAAGCAGTTTAGCACAACACACCTGCTGTATCTATGCCGTGCAATGAACTTATGCTGGCACAGACACAACACATCTAGGTTTTTTTTTCCTTTAATTAATGGGACGGAGAATTTCGAACTTGGTATTTCTTTCAACTCGGAGAAGAAGGTACATTTAGCATTGGTACGAGGGTAAAAACCTCTTATGATTGATGGATCAAATTCAATTAATTATTGGTTAAATCAACAGCTCCTAAAATAACTAGCTTATTATTGTTATTTCATTTGAAAAATACTAAAAGTAAATAAAAGATCAATAATATTGAAAAAAAAAAAAGTGTAAATCAGTTTGTTGCCAGTTGGTGCTTTGTACAATTTGAAGTGGTTGCCCAATATCCATCATCCATGGATCAACCCATGTGTAAAATTTACAGCGAAATTCGCTATTGACCCCAAGACTAATTTTCAAATAATATAATCCGTGGTAAAAATATTTCTCTTTCTTTTTGTCGTCCTCCTTCTCCGTTAACTATATAAAAAGGGAAAAAGACTCAAAATATCAGCTTGCATTAGTTCCCAAGCAAAGCTCCTCTCTCTCGCTCTCTCTCTCTCACTCAGCTCTCTCACTTTTAAATACCTTTTATACTGAATCGTCTTTAGACAGAGAAACACAGCGAAGAATGGCTTCGTTCGACGCGTTCAGCATTGACGGCGACGATCTCAACGCTTCCAACAGTCATTTTGACCAAGACGACGTCGTCGTCGAAAACTACACCGACTACGCCGAGTACTCCAGCTTCTCCGGCGGAGCTCCGACTGACGCCGAAGTAACCGCTGACCACGCCGCGGCCGGTGCCTCAACGGATGTTTTCGGATTCGACGATCCGAGCTCCAACTACTCCCACTCGACCCCGTTCGATTCGGTTCCCGTTGAGAACGGTAATGGAAATGGATATGGTGTGGGCGAGCACGCAATCGACGATGACGTTTTCACATCGGACGGTCCCGTGCTACCTCCACCAAGCGAGATGGTGCCTGAGGAAGGTTTTGCTCTTCGTGAATGGCGGCGGTAAGATTCGGATCTGATTCCTTTTGGTTACTTAGTTACTTGTTTTGTGAGTTGCTTTAGATCTGTGAAATTCAGGATCCTTAGGAAAATTTTATGTGTTTGTTTTTGGATGTTGGGCTAGTTATAGGTGTTCTCTATTGGAATATAATTAGATCTGTGATTTCCTTTAGTTGTGATCTCGGGAAGAGGTAAATGATTGTTTTTTAATTGAACTTTTTGGAAAGAGATTGATCAACTTAAGCTTCGGAGGTTAACCATTATATCTTGAAAAAGATCTACTTCCTTACAATACAATCCATGAGGGATTGTTAAGTTCTTACTGTATGTAAACATATAGATCAGTGGTTCATTGTGTGTTTGCATAGTTTAGAGCAGGCTCTTCAATCCTATGCAGCCGGAGTTGTGAGTAAACTGCAGAGTGCTTTTGGAGCCTGTTGGAATGAGGATTGCTATTGAGTTTCTTGCAAAATTAATTTTCAGATAGTCATTGTTCGGTTAATCAAAATTCATCTGAGTTTTCATCAACTCAAGGGAAAAAAAGGGGTGGTTCATTAAAGGATGCCCTTACACAGTTTGTTCCAACCATCCTGTCATTAGGAGAAAGACTTAGTATAACAGTTTAACTGCAACAAACCAATAATGAAGTAACACGTAATCATTGTTGTTGGGACTCGTATCATTTATTAGGGAAATCCGTATCATTTATGTCATGTAACAACATGTTAAATTTAAATACTATGGTTCCGATCATTTCACTATTGTTTTGTGAAAACGCTGTAGCATGATGATGTGGTAGAATTGTTGTACTTAAGAATTTCTTAGGTTGGTTCAACTTCAAAATGACAACGGTAAGATGATCATAGTTATTTGATCATGCTTTTTGTTTACTAATTTTAACACACTTTGGCTGAGCTGTACCAGCAAACTGCAAGTGAAGTGGTGTTAGATTTCCCACTGGAAAATTAATGACTTAATTTGACTTTGCTGGTATAGTCTAAATGCCCTCCAGCTTGAGGAGAAGGAGAAGAGGGAGAAAGAACTGAGGAACCAGATTATTGAAGAAGCTGAGGAGTACAAACGTGCATTCTATGAGAAAAGGAAGCTTAATGTTGAGACCAACAAGGTTGAGAACAGAGAAAAGGAGAAGGTAAATTTTGGAATGCAATTATCAATTACTCTTTTTTCAACACCAGCTCTTGTGTTCTTAATGCTAAGAAATTGGTTCGTATGTGGAGCAGTTATTCTTGGCTAATCAAGAGAATTTCCATAAAAACGCTGACAAGCAAAGTTGGAAAGCAATAGCAGAGCTCATTCCTCATGAGGTTCCCAACATTGAGAAGAAGAGAGGCAAGAAGGATCAGGACAAGAAACCATCGATCACAGTCGTTCAGGGCCCGAAGCCTGGAAAACCCACTGATCTTTCAAGGCTGCGGCAAATACTTTTGAAGCTGAAGCATAAAACTCCACCTCATATGATTCCACCCCCACCTGCTCCTGCTAAAGATGCCAAAGGTGCCAAAGATGGAAAGGCTCCAGCTAAAGATCCCAAAGATGGGAAGGATGCCAAAAATGCCCAGAATGTAAAGGATGCAGCATCTAAAACTAATGGGTCCTCAGAAGCCGAGGTGCCTGCTTCACAAGCCAAGGATGCCACCTCTAACGGTTCTTCGGATGTACCTGAACAAAGCACTCCTGCTTCTATCGAGGACCTCTCTGCTTAACTCAAACCCTTCCATATTTTATTCATCAATTTTATTATTTTGAGATTCAAATTGATCATCGGCTGCCGTATCACTGGCTTCTGTTGCTACTGATTATCGGAATATTGTAATATTTGGTCTCCATTAGCCCTAGCTTTCAGTGTGGAGGTCTTCATATATTTTGATGTTGGGTGTGTTGTGTTTGGGATTTGAGACTCATTGTTTACACACATTTTATGAATATTACTTTTCCTTTTATCAGCAAGTCTTTTTCTGGGTAATCATTAGAAAGAAGTCTCATGTTTTTATGATGGCTTTTGGGCGTGTCAATAACAACGTTTTTGTATAATAAATCCTGGATTGATGTACAATGAAAAACAATGACATGGCACTCTTAACATTATTGTCGTGTTAAGTACTACAAATTGTGACCTTAAATATTGTAGATTGCATCAACCGATCACATCTTATCAAATTTTATAAACATTCGAATATGAATTATTGTATGTTGACCAAGAATGTAGATCAAAATTTGGAATTTAGACATTGAAGAATCCATCAAGGTCAACTTGTTTGGGTCTGTTCTTGTTCGCATCTAGGAGAGAAAAGAGTCAAAGAGTGTGTATTGATTAATTTCTGTTTCACTATACAACATTCTTCTCTTCCATTGTACTCTTCTTGAGAAGTACATAAGGTAACGATTGAATCAAAAAGAAAAAAGAAAACAACATCAGACTAACATAACATTACAAATTCGCAACCTCAAATTAATTCTGCTCAAACCACCCTCTCCCTTCTCAAATTGGCTAACAAAAGACGAAGAAGCGAAAACGTGTAAAAGGTTAAAGAAGATAACTGTATGAACTACTGGAATAACTACTTGTGGACTTGTAAATTTCATCTGTCTTCCTCCAAATTGCAATGAGTGCATTATTCTTATTCTTCTTCAGCGAGGTGCTACTTGAGTTATAGTGTCAGGGACAGAACTCATCTGATAGCTAGTTGTGTCGGCAGATGATTTTTTACTTGAAGAAGGTCCGCTGAGGCTCCCTGAATTGTTGAAGAAACCTGGGGCTGTAAGTTGCTTCTCATTGATTCTGATGTTTCTTGAGAGCATCTCAACAACCACACTCATCATTGGCCTTCGGCTTGCTGCTGCTTGGGTGCAGAAAAATGCAACCTTCATGTACCTAAGGAGTTCTTCCTCAGGAAATTCCCCCATCTCTGGGTCGACAAGCTCCAATAGTCGCCCTTCTTCATGGAGCTGCCATGCCTAAAGAAGAACAGAGAGAGTTGTAAAAGGAAGCAGAACAAGTTCGACATGAAATAAGTCCATGCAGGTAACCACCCGTTGTGTGTGTGGGTTAAAGAAGGAATATCAACTACTTCAATTGAACCAAAAACAAAAACTTGCTGTACAATTTCCACCTGTTCTCTAATTGATTGTGCAGCATGTCAATAATTCTCTTAGTAGATCAGATAATTAAACTAACTTGAGCATCCCTCGTTTAACAATTTCCAGTAAGAGTTAATCCATTAATCACCAGAAATGATAAGACCTAAACCCTTATAAAGGGCACAAAAACATGCAAAATAAGACTGCGAGTATGATGATGGAAAAACCAACTCACCCATTCGAGGAGAAACTTTTCTGTCCCTCCCCAGTTTTCCTTGGCACTGCTTCTGCCACTAACTATTTCAAGAACAAGAACACCGAAACTGTAAACATCAGCCTTCTTGGTTAACTGACCTCCCAGAGCGTATTCTGGTGCTAAATAACCACTGCGGAAAAACAAAACTAAAGCATAAGATGGCAGCTTAGTTTCTTTCACTTGCATCTCCAGTATCAACTGGACAGACCCATACGAAGTTATACTAAAACACACTAATCTCTAATTTGCCAAGATCAATTACTGAAGAAAACAAAGATCTTTCCCAACAAAAAAAAACAACAAAAAACTACACAACAGAAATCTCCTAATTGAATCAAGCAAGGAAAATGGAACGTTAACAAATGAATAACAATCAACTAGAAATATGAAAGTAACGTACGTTGTTCCTGCAATCCTTGTGCTAATATGAGTGATGTTATCAGGGAAGAGTTTAGCCAACCCAAAGTCTCCAATTTTGGGGTTAAAATCTCTGTCTAGAAGTATATTACTAGCCTTGATATCTCTATGGACAATATGTGGCATCAGTTCCTCATGGAGAAACATAAGACCCCTAGCAGTACCCAAGCAAATGGCTGATCTTTTTTCCCAATTGAGTATGATGTTTTTACTCTTTGAACCTACAAACACAAGGAAAACAAATTAGACTATAGTCCTTTCTCAATTCAGTCTTCCTTTCATGCTGAAGGATTTGATCAATTACCTAACAATGCACGATCAAGGCTGTTATTCTCAGCATATTCATAGACCAAAACCCGATCCGCTCCTTCAACACAGCACCCAATCAACTCAACAAGGTTTGGATGCCTGACATTTGATATAGCAATAATCTCATTTAAGAATTCACGGACTCCCTGCTTCGACCGAGCAGAAAGTGTCTTCACAGCAACTTGCTTTCCACTTTTCAGGGTTCCCTAGCAAAATGTAGCTAAACTACTAAGATAACATGAAATGGCGTGGATGAATACCATCTAGATATCCTGATTAACGTAAAATCATAATCAACGTTTGGCCCTTACAATATAAGACCAACCACTAAAGCTGTGAAACTAAGAACAAGAAAGAACTCTGTCTTAAAAAGTCACAGAACCTAAACCGAATGGGTGGCTATTATTCTTGATGACAACATGATGAATTACCAAAATCCATGCCCTAGACATTAGCAAAATCTTAATACTGGAAAGATAAAAAATCTCTACTTTTCTCCAATCTAGAACTACAGGTGAGAGTTTCTAGCATACCAAGCAATGTTTCTATGTGTCGAAAACGTAAGATTATAATTTGAAGTGTTCTAAAAGCGCAAACCCAACTCAAGGTGTCAGCAATCAGATTTCAAAAGCTTGATGTAAATAGTTTTGAGCCAAGCCAAGCCATTCACAAATTTGGAGCCAAAACTACAATATAATTCAAATAACAGATATAATGGCTGCAAACTTCCCAATAGTATTATTACGACAAGCCGTCTGCAAAATCCAAGTACCTTGTAAACAGTTCCAAAACCTCCTCGCCCTATCTTATTACTGGAATGGAAATCATCGGTCGCCGATCTTAATTCATTGTAGGAGAAAGTTTTAATATTTTCCAGCAAATTTCCTACACAACACAAGACAAAAATGAATAAGAATAATCATGATGATGCAACAGAGTAACAGAACAAAAAGAAAAGTGTAATGGATGGAAAACAGAAAAAGCGGGAGCATTTATTCATGTCCATACCATCAAGATCATGGCCAAAGTGACCAGACCTCCTTTTCCTGTCAGCAACTGAAGTACCAAAGCAGCTACAACCCATTCTTGTCCACAATAAACAACTTCTTCTATCTTCTGGGGTTCTATAATCTAAAGAAAAACAGCTCCACCAGATCAGATAAACCCTGCTAACAAGATTCGGACCGACCCATATTGCCAAAATCCTATGTTTTATAACCAAAAATCATAAATTTTTCCTCATAATATCACACAAATGAGCATCAAACACCCAAAGATAAAATTATCAAGCTTGTAAAATAAAAAAACTGATAAAACCCACCTCGTGGATTTGCAGATGGCCAATCAAGTTCGATCCTTGATCTCTCCAAGCTGGGTTTTAGCACTTGTTTCTGGCAGCAACCATGGCGAGATTGAAATTGTTAATTTATTGAAAAGGATGCAATTTTTTAATGTGAAAACGAGAAAAAGGAAAAGAAAGGGCAAAGCTTTACTGGCCGTCTTCTTGTTATTAAAAAAAAGGAGGTTGGTCCGGCTGTTTTTAATATCACGAGAGTCGTTGCACGAGCTCTGCTTCCTTAGTTTGGCGTGTTCCCATCTTCAGCTCTTGTTGAAACTTGAAAGTGACCATTTTTCCCCCTCTGTGTTCTTTGCCTGCCCATATTTGCGTCGTTAATTAGTGCCTCTCTCTGTTGTATGGCATCATTATTGCTTTTTCTTTGTTAATAATGACATCATAAGGTTGTTTCATTTCTTTTGTTTTCAGTACTTTGTAATGCAGTTTTTGCATGATTGTATAATTTGAGAAGAGTAATGCTACACTACACTTATCATATTTTTATCATTCTTTTTATACAACATGATGTGATATGTTTATATTATACAAATGTGATAAAGTAGCATTATTCATTTAAGAAATATAACGAAAACAACAAATAGTTTTACTTCTCGTTTTTTCGGCACGACGTCATTATTATGTTATGTGATCAGAGAGATATGTTGTATGATGAAATTGATATAAAGAACTGTTGTATTCAACCCAATAAAAGTTTTTGTTTCTTCCTCTTTTGGCCAATGTCATGTGGTGAAACAAATGAAAATGAACTATAAAAGACTCTTATTTATCTTCTTGTCTTTCAAGAGTATAATCCTCATGGGTTCTGTCGTAATGGTGAATAAATTTTGATATTCTTTTTTGGCTATACTAGTTTTGAATAAGTTTTCTTGGTCCATGAAAAAACAAGTATTTCCCTTGACATATAGTTTGAATAATGAATAGCTCATAGTAAACAAACAAAAAGTAGACAAAAACATGAGCCATAGCACTAGCGATCCCTCTGACCCAAAAAAAAGACAATAAAGACTAGTGATCCCAAGACTTATGTGCCTTCTCTTCAATTTTTTGTTTCATATTTGTACTAGCCCCTTGACACACGCTTACGCATGTGTCAATTAGTTCTTTTTTTTTTTTTTTAGAATTAAGAAAATATAATATGGGTAGTTATGTTCCATAAAAGTATGACCTATTATCTTATTTTATTTTTATTTTTATTTGTTTAATATAAAAAATATGAATTTACCATATTATCTTCATTTAATTAATAATTTCAATTCTTAATGTTTGAATTAACCAAGAGTATTTTATGGTATTTTGAATGTTTTATCATTCTTTACATTTTATATAGATATATAAGACTATAATAAGAACCATTTCATTAAGTGGTTAAATAGTTTCGGATTCCAGTGATTTTTTATAGATATGATATTTGAATTGAGATAATATCTAAAAACTAAACAATTCGGATTATTGAAATACAATACGTGGTGGGACTTACAAATGTCTCCCTCAAATGAAGCTGTCTTATATAAAATAGTTAGACCAATTAATTTTGTTATTAAAATGCAACTACAAAAAACGCACCCGCTTTCGTTTTCATTGACCAAGCACTTGACATCAATGCCATGGTTATCAATACTTTTCTCTTTTTTGGCTTCGTGTATTTCATCGCGTTCATACCTTCCTCCTTTCGTATTCTAGAAACCAAGAGCATTCGATCTATACTTCCGCTTACAATTTGTTTCCATGCAAATTAAATGAGGTCTCTTGAAATCAAATACATTTGAATGGTATTTTTCGATTTCGAAGTCAAAGTCTCTCAACCAGTCATCTCTTCTTCGTGTAGGAAAAGTTTGTAAAAATAAGGGGAACAATTTTAGTAATCTTAAACAAGCTGGGTTGGGCGGTGGGTGTTTCATCAGCAATTGTCAACAAATGCCTACGCTATGATTTGTTGGCAGCGACTCCATTTTTTCAACAGTCAGCTTGGAATATAATTGAAGATACATTTGGCCATTTTTCTACCACAAAAATTTATAATGTCATTTGCCATACAATTTAATATGTTTTGTTGTGTAGTGGCTATTTTCATTTAAACGTATGATCTCAGTTATCGAATTACAACATAACATATTCATCTAAATAATACTATTTGTCCCAACACGTCTTCAATACAAGAATACTAGTATATTTGTTTTCTTCTTATAATGGGTTATTTTATTTAAAATTTGGGCTTTTTCTTCCGTCGGGAATTTATATGTGAAGTTTTTTCAATTTAGGATTTTATGGTTTTAATTTTTTTGTTATAAGGCAGGCCGAAGCCTCAAAAAAGAAACCTAACGAGGCACAACCCTACTATGGGCTCTTCCTAGATCATCATCCAGTAACAAGCTTGAGAGAGAGAGATAGGAACAGACTCCTCGTTTGGTTCATGGAACGAATTTGAGGGGAAATCATTTCCTCAAGGATGAGAAATAGAATATTTATTTCCCACGTTTAGTAATGCTGGGAAAGTAACCGGGAGATATCACTCTATTTCCTTTTCCATGTTTCTTTTGAGTAGTAATGGAAAACAAAATTGATATAAATTTTCAATTATACTCATATTAAATCAAATAAAAAAAAAGAATGCATTTAATGATATATTGTAATTCTAAATTGTTAATGGGGACAAAATGGTCATGAAAAATATTTATTTAATATTGGCTTATTTTCCCAAAATTTCCACGATGAGGGAAAACAAAACCTAAGTTAGGAGGATGACTTCATTTTCCCCTATACTTTCTTATGGGTTAGACAACGATTTTTCATACCTAGACTTACCAAACATGGAAAAACAATTGATTTCCTATCACCAAGTCTCATTTTCCATAAACCAAACAGGGCCATAGTAATGAAGCTCCAAGGATAATTCATACCCCAAATTAGCAAGGTGGTCAGCCGTTCTGTTTTGCTCCCCGTAGATATGAGAGATATTGCATCTCCAATCACGGAAGCTGAGAATATCATGCTTCCCATTACCTGTGTCTACATTGTTTTCAAAAGTTGCTTTTGATTTGATAAAGTCGATCGTCTTATAATTGGCCAACACATGCTAAAAGTCTTAATGGTTTCAATTCTGGCCAATGATTTGCACCATTTAAATAAAACCAATTTGTTCATGTCACCATGTCTGCATCAAAAGTATAGCTTCCTAAATCACAAGAAGGGAGCTTATTTATTAAAAGTAACCCTTTTTACTTACTCTCTAATCAGTATTACTTAGGTATGTCTGAAGTCAAATTATATATACTATATACAAAGGCAAGGGAAAAGAAAAGTAAACCATTCGATTTTATACAGTTTTTCTGGCATTCAATTTCTTACAAATTTGCCAATAGATTTGGTTTGGCCAATCACCAAAAACCCAGTGCCAAAAGAATTCCAGACCTCTAGGCCAAATTCCAACCTTGCTGGGGCCCAGCCAACACAAAAACACCAGAAATCCAAACCCAACAGCAACACCTGCAAATTGGGTTTTGGAATCACATGTCTTGTCTACCACCCAAAACCCTAAAATTGAGCTCAAACTGCCTTTCAAAAGCCGAAAAGAAAAAAAAAAAAAAACAGGAAACAAAAGCCAAACCCAAAGCCAGTCCACTCTCTCACTCAACATATTCAAACATATACACACACTAACCCCACTACCCTCTCTCTCTCTCTCTCTCTCTTTACACAGTGATATCTGTCGCCTTCAATCGCGACTTTCCACCACTCACATTCTTCTCTCTCTGTGTCTGCTTTGTGATTTGTATATATAATTTTTTTAGGGTTTTGGGCTAATGAGTCAAGTTAAGGAATCTGACGACGAGCCTGTGGCTCTGTCTCTTGAAAGCGATAAGCCCGAAATTGGGAGTATTGAGAGTATGGAAGAAGACGAAGAAGAAGAAGAAGAAGAAGAAGAGCCTGTGGACAAGTCCGGCGATCCCATGGAGGAAGACTCCGTCAGTCCCGCCGCCGTCTTCTGTATTCGGCTCAAGCAACCCAGGTCCAATTTGCAGCACAAGATGAGCGTCCCCGAGCTTTGTCGCAATTTTAGGTAATGTTGAACGGAATTCAAGCTCCAATCTGTTGAATTTTGAGTTTTCTTCGTTGAATTGTGTTCTTCTCTTTTCGGGCATTTGATTGAATTGTATTTGATATTGGTTTTCAAGCGTTATTATGATGATTCATGAATGAAATGAAAAGACTTGTATTGGTTTGAGCTCGCTAGTTGTTTATTCATGGAGAAAAATTCTAAATTTACTGAAATGAGACAATTTTTTTGGTTATACAGTGTATAGTAAGGTGGGAAGTTCACTTGTATCGGTTTGAGCTCGCTAGTTGTTTGTTCATGGAGCAAAATTCTAAATTTACTGAAAAATTCAAACTTTCATATTCCCCTTTTATTCACATTTAGAAAATACTTCTTGAGCTTTTCAGTTAATAAGGAAGGCAATAACTGGTTTTCAACATCATGGAAATTTATTAATGGGCGAAGGTTCATATGGCAATACCTATGACTAGATAATAAAAACCCAAAATCTATCACAACATTTCAAGTTTAACCCTTTTTCTTTGCTTCCCACCTTTCCAGACACTATCCCAACAAATTTTGTTTAATTCAGTAAATTTAGCCAGGATAATGGCCACATCGACAACAATGGATCAAAATTCCCTTATTTATTTATTTATTTTTTAGAAATATTTTTTTTATTTCTTCATTCCGTATTTGGTTTTAGTAATAATAACTTGCCTTAGTATCAGAGACGTTACAGGTTATCATCTGCCTTTTGGTAAAGATAACCGGAAATCTTGGAAATAAGAAGAAGCATAAGTGCAAAGCTAACTTGAATTGATTGACTTCCTGAATCCCAAACATCATGATACGGCAAATAGCCCTGTTCATCTTACGTGCATAGATATTTGTGGAGATTTTCTTGTTATAACGGTCGGTATTAGTATCTGTGCTCAATATGGATTTGATGAAAAAATTACATATAAACAATTGTATTAACAACACTAGATTTTCTTGGTGCAAATTTTAAGAAATAGTTCTTAACCATCTGATATGCTTCTCTTGAGGTGAATGATATTTGGTGGTTGTATAATAAATATACATATTTTTGTTTAAATTTTATGTTTTCAGTTGCATACACAGGATTTGGCATAATGGGTACTCTTTTTATTTGTTTCGCAGTGCTGTTGCTTGGTGCGGGAAGCTGAATGCTATAGCTTGTGCATCAGAAACATGTGCTAGAATTCCAAGGTTATCATTGTTTGTTTTTTGGCTCAATTTATTAGACCATGAGAG